AAATTTATTATATATATATATATATATATATATATATATAATATATAATTATATATATATATATATATATATATATAATTTCAAAAATATTTTGATTATCTCATATCTTATTTATTTAATTTATTGAAATATTATTTTATGTATCTATATAACAATAATTTTAAATATTGAATATTTTTTTTATAAATTTGACTAAAATAAATATTAAGTTTTTCGCAATATTATTTATATGTGTTATCTTTGAAAGATCTTATTTTTTTTCTAACTCTATCTGTCTCTAGTAATACATTTTATTTCTAAACACTTATTTATTGTCTCTAATAACTCTCTCTATTACATTATTCATAGTATACACGTATCTCGCTATAATCTCTCTAACTGCTCTCCTGCTACTAAATAAATTATTAGTCTTTTGTTATTATCATCCACTCATAGCTAATCTTATATAGATCCATACTACCACTCATACCAACCAACATTTATACAAAACAGCGTCGCCATCTAGGCACAGCTAACAGTTTTGATACTAATATTTCAATAAACGATTTTAATTTGAAAGGAATATAATAATGGATTAAATGTTCAATAAATCTTTTATTTTTATTTAAAAACACCTTAAAATATCACTTCAATTATGGGAATATTTTCTTGATTTGGGATCAGTTTTAAATTCTTAATTTTTGTCGATTGTAGTAAAATATAACAAAAAATTATTAAGAAAATAAGGCCGTTGAAATTGTTTTTAGAGGATAATTAACTACTCATGAATGTGCATCGAACTGAATGTATGCAATTAATATGTGCTTAATTAAATTATTGAAATTGCCACGCATGACGACAGCACAATAACACACACACCGACACACACACACACATATATATATATATATATATATATATATATATATATTTGTGTTTGTTATCTTACCTTTGCAGACATTATGTGTCTATTATTATTATTATCCCCGGTTTCCCATATGTGTGCCTATAGCTTTGGTGTGTTTACGGGCGCGTAGAATTTTAAATTAAGCCGTTCCACCAACTACGCGAGAAAATGTGCGAAACGTTAAAATAAAACAATTTGAACCTATGACATTTGTAAGTGGCTCTAAAATAAATTGTATGTGATGTTTACCAACTGTTCAGTGGTATTTGTTTCGTCGTCATGTTTCAAACTTTCTCGTGGTTTCCTTTTTAATATTAGAATAATTATTAAGACAATTTTACCTCATTGTAAAAGAACTTTTGGAAGTGAATAATCAAGGATCAGTTACAACAGATGCTCAGCTTTTTTCAAGACATATAAGAATTTTTTACATGAATGTTTGAAGATTTATAATTTTTAATAATAAGCCAAGTTAATAGATTGAAAATTTAAGCAATTTTTAACCCTTTTGCTACAAATGCCGTTCATGTACGACATTCATTCGACTGCCTGAGTATAAGAATGTCGTTCATGGGCGACATATTCTGTGTCGGTCATTGATTCAAGATTTATCACTATGAGAAACAATTAGTTTGTTTAACTCGTTTGTTTGTGTGAGTTAAAAAATTGGTTGTAATATTTGGTTTATTAGATTTTTAGCGTGAATTTTATTTTTTCAACACATTTTTATTGATAGTGATAGAAATTTCATAAAATAAATTGTTGTGGTCCTGGAATTGATCTCGTATTCAAATGATCTTTTAAACTTTCTACCCAGCTCTTGATCTAAAATTACACATTCATTCTGACTTATTTTTACTATTTTAAACAAAACTTTTCTTGACTATAGAAAGATTGTATCATATTGGACAATACCTATTATTAAAAAATAAATAAATAAACGAGACAAATTGCAAGATGATAGCATTTGGAAAAAATATTTCACGTGCAGATGGTAGGCTTTCTGTCCAGCTCTTTAATCTCTCAAATTACACATTTATTCTAATTTATTGTCACTATTTTATATAATTTTTTTTTTGTCTTTAGAAATATTGCTTCAAATAAATTTTTTTGCCTCTTGGATTTGCTAAAAATGCTTTGCATTGTAGTCGCCTCTGCAATGAATTTGGACTGAAGTGTTTTGATCTAAATCTCAAAATGTACACTCAAGCAAATATAGTTAATATCTGGGTTGGCCATTCAAGAAAGTTGCTTATATAACTGACAAATGTTATCAGTTAGGTAGAAAATAAAAATGAATTAAATGTTCAATGAATATATTTTTTATTTAAACATGTCTTAAAATATGATTATTTGAGGGAATATTTTGTTGATTTGAGAATTTCTCATTTTTTATCGATTATGGTAGTGCTTAATGATGTTTCTGATTATTATGGCAGTTCTGTCGATAGTTGTTACACCTGGATTAGTGTTGTAAAAATGAAATTTGTATAATTTGAAGTTAGTAATAATTGTCTGTATAGTTACTGCATCAAATTACATAAAGCCTATTATTAAATTAAAAAACAAAAAACAACTAAACGTGACAAATTGCAACTTTGGAAAAAATGTCTCATGTGCAAATGGTCTTCTACACCATCTCTCTAGCTCTTGCTCTCAAATTACATATTTATTCTGATTTATTTTCATTATTTCATATCAAACACCTCTTGTCCATAACATCATATCATTCATACCACTCCAGCATTAATGAAAAGGCATTACGAAAGCTGCTTCTCTAATTTCATACAGCATATTCTCTTTTCATATGAAACCCGATATAGCAAAATATTACCTTAGTTTTTTACCTCGTTTTAACTATCAGTGATAGTCATACAACCTGCATCAGGTACGTACAAGGCTACTAGCATGTATTAATTTACGACGGGCTGTCATTACAAGACAACCTCCCTGTCGGTTATGTGTCGACAGGCGCACTCGACGCCTCGGCAAAGTCGAACGTAATTTATTTTCGTTTAAGTGTCGACTAATGTCGACGGGAAATTACACTTTTGCACCAGCGAATTCGCGCGCGAATATAATGGATCGAGATCCCATGACACTAAATGGTTTGGGATGTCTACGTCCAATTTGTTTATATTAGCTCAAGTAGACAAGTTACACTCAAAGATGAGATACTGAGGTAATATGATAGATGATAATTGTAGAATTATATTTTGGAATATGGAAACAAATCCATATAATCACATGTAAGACAATAGTCATCTTTTTTAGTTTGGATTCATATTGTGATTCTATAGTAATTGTATCATTATATTGATCGTGTTCCTGAGTTCTATTCTATAACAAGTGGTAATACTTTATATCGTTTATAATTATCTTAATTTGTGACTAGTCTGGTGCATGGCATTGTGCCTTAAGGCAAATTGCTAAAACTTCCTGTACCGTAATTAAAAATCTTGGTACAGATCCCAAAAAAATTTACACAAAATGTGTACACATTATTAAAATCTTGATAAAATATCTGGTAATTTGATGTACATATGTCCAATAAACATTTTTGACCGCCAAATGACTTTTTCTAACTTATTTTCATTGAGAGTCCATAACCGCTGGACCTGCCTTCCCAAAAATTTAATCAGTTCTTCATCTTATCAATACAAGTAAAATGTTTTTTGAATTATTAAAATCGGACGCTGCGTTCTCTTAAAAACTCAGTTACCGTTTTTGGCACTTTTTGCCCCGTATCTTTGGAACGGCTAGACCTGCCTTCGCCAAAAACTAATCAGCACGTCTCTTTATCAATACGAATCGAATGTTTTTTGAATTATTCAAATAGGTTGATCGGTGTTCCCGAGATAGTCGACGAAAATTTGTATCCGCACACACACACACATACATCAATTTTTTCTAAGGTATGTCAAAATATTCAGAAACCTTTGAAACGTAAAGATAAATAAAAGTTTTCATTTTCGATTTAAAGGTACGAAAAGTTTAGTTAGACTTAAAGTTTCGGAAGTTAAAAAGACATGACTACATATAATTTACTCAGTGATCACAAGTTATTTTTTATGTTAAACTAAAAACTAGATTTACTTGAATGACATTTTGACCACAACTAAAAATTCTACTTAATGGAATATTACTTATTTATTTTAGTGGAAATACTATATTTTCTTTCAGAAAAAGAATTGGCAATCCCGGATATATTTTATTGCGATTTTATATTGATTATATTGAGCTATCTCCTTGATATATTTTTCTACAAACTGTACATATACAGGGTGTTCCAGAATTCATTGTCAAATCGAAAGGGGGTGTAGTATTGACTGTTACTGTCCAGAAATTACGTTGTTTTGAAATTATGAGCTTTTAAGTGCAACCTAGAGCTTTAAGCTCTAGGGGCGTTCATTAATCACGTGAGGTTTTTTGGGGTTTAAAAAAATCACGAAAAATCACGTGGGGAAGAGAGGTATATATTAAGATATAACGTATATTTATTTTTTAACTGATTTTTCTAAAAAAAATCAAACATTTTCAAAAAAATTAAAATAACATACAATGTTATCACGTAACTAAAAATAAACGTGATGTTTGGTCGGAGAGGGGGGGTGTAGTTTTGAATATCACCAAGGGGGAGGGGAGGTCGGAAAATACTTAAAAACTCGCTCACGTGATTAATGGACGCCCCCTGTGTGAAGTTGTGGCTATTTTTTGGTCATTGTGGTTAATTTTTATTACTTTTTTTCATTTAAACTATAGAACCGTAACCGTGAATACCATATTTATGACTGCAGTCAAAAATAATGACACACTTGCCTCGAGTTTTCAAGAATTATGACATTTTTTTTAACTCTTGAACTATTAATCCAAAAATTTTAAATTCGGTCAATTTTGTGACGCATTTCTTTAAAAAAAAATGTACTAAAGTGTATTGTCAAGTTTCACCAAAAGTTGATTCATTTACTCTGAATTGTAAAATGGTAAAATACTGGATTGAATTGAATATTATAATAAAAAACGAGTAAAAAAGAAAATAGACGCATAATTCAAATGAATTTGTTTCGTATAAGTTCTTGGTAGATTCCCAATTTCACTGTGAAGTGATGTGAAAATGCTTTCTACGGCTCACTGTGAAATTAATAATGAAGATGATTATATGAATAAGCAGAGAAGGTAAAGAAGGCAACTGTTACCGAAATAAAAAAGTAAATAAAATTAATAAAATAGTGAATAATCTTGACCTAGTTTAGATTGTGCTTATTGAAATAGAATAAATGCCAAATAGAAGAATACCATTTTTATTATAATAAATTGTTTACCATCGGTCATGTATCTTCTTAATAATGATCTATTCATTAGCCGCAATGCAAGTAAGAGAATTTATTCTTCAGAAATGATATTTGAAAAATATCTTTTTTATTATTTTAACACAGTTTATCTATGTACTGTGTCGTAGCATCTCCGACTTCAATTCTACTCGTAGAACAATATCGAATATTTGGATAGTTGTCTCATCCTCACAAACAAACTGATATTTGTGAACTGCTCGGCGAGCAGATACGTGACGATGATTATTTGCGAAACAGGTGACGGCGATAAGTGCTTTTAGCAACTTTCAACACTGTACGTGTAATATTGGAAATCGATTCAGAAACTAGTTTTTTGTTAAACGACTCAAACTTTTTAGAGTAATTAAGTTTTATGCGCTTTTGAAGCAGTAGTTCTTACTATACGAGGTAACAGAAATCATAGATCGATATTGATTTATTCGAATTATTCTTAAAATTTGAATTAATTCAGCTTCAACTGTTTATGATGAAACTTTTGCGTAATTGATTGAGCCAACAGTGCGGATCCCCACATTATTAGTTGTACTCATTATTTATTATCATGATTAAATCTACAATATCGATATAACGCAAACATTGCGATCATAAAACTAAACAAGCTTTATTCCAAAATAGCAATGAATAATTTATATTTCACGATCATCTCCACATGTAAAAGCGACAGGTACTAAATTAATATATTAATACTCACATCCTATGTTAAACCATTGTTTCGGATGATCAATCAGTGATATCCGTAATTTGACTGATTGTGTTTTGTTTGATTTCAGTATTGGCGGTGCTATGCGACGCCCAGGCGCCCGTCGAAATATACCCACAAAATCCAGTGGTCCTGGAGGGTCAAAATCTCACCATGCTCTGCCGTGTGGGGGTGGATGTACACTACTGCAGGTAAAAATGATAAAAAAATATATAATTTGATTTATGTGTTTATCAATCTACTGAAAAGTGCTTTAATATTTTGTTCAAGACTAAACTTCACTTCGTATAGTAAATTCTATTTTTTTTTCTATTTCAACTTTTTTCTCTTTTTTCGTGTGACCTTGGCTTCTAAGATTTCATTGTATTTTGAGTGCTATTTTGAGAAAAAAAATTGTTCAATCTATTTATCATTGAACTTATATACATTATTTTTTATAATTTTTTTTTATATTGCATAGTTTTATTGTCAATCAAAATAATATACATTTAAGACAATTTGCTGCGTGTTAATGAATTTAAGAGATTATCTCCTATGAGATATCACTCTTATTTTTTATTGTTTGGCATTTTATTTAAGATCATATGGCCATTTTTTTTTTTCAATCTTCGTGTGGGATCAATTCTTTTAAATATTTGTTAGGGTGACCTGGTAGTTTTTCGTGGTATTTTTTGCTCCTTTCTTTCATCATATTATTAATAGTTTTTATTTTTAGGTCTTTATGTAGAGTGTCATTTGTAACATACCAGGGTGCGTTCACAATGCATCTTAAAATTGTTGTTTGCGCTACTTGTATTTTCATTATATTTGAAATGCTTGCGTACGCCCATAGCTCAATTCCGTATGTCCAGATTGGGATTATTATTGTTTTATAAAAAAGGAGTTTGTTTTCACAGCACATATTTGAACTCCTGCCAATAGCCAACAGCTCTTTTATATAAATATTTTTATTTTTTATTAACGTCGAATTACAATCAGATCAAGTAATTTTATAAGTCAAAGCTATATTATGAGATCAAATTGTCGTGGTAGAAACTCCACTAAGAACTTTAGTGCGAGATGCTTTTACATCTTTATATAAGACTTTTTTTATTGTTTTTGTTTTAAGTATGGAATACATTTCCAAATTAAGAATTCTAAGCTTTTTGAGTAGTAACATATAAATCTCAGTCAAAATTTCTTCCCAATTGTCTTCCCAAAATTGCAATCATAGCAACAGAATAATAAACAATGTATAATTAATTTTGATCATAAACTATTGCAAAATGATATCATAAAATATTGTCAGTATCCTGATATATAATATTAACCACATAAACCACGATCAATGTATTCGATGATAAATCCAATCCAATAAAATTGGAATCAAAGAGTATTTGGCAGCGAAATATATATGACGGCTAAAGCAGAATGACCACATAATTTGTGGTGAATACCTGCCATACACCGTATGAAGTGCATTCTAGAGTTCAATTAAATAGTTAATAGAAAACACTAAATGTATGTGAATCGGTCATGAGTAATAAAATTACTCACATTATTTAGTGGATAAATCTGCTGGTAAAAGATATATTTAACATTTGCATTTTTGTAATCTATTTGACCTAAAAAACAAAATAGTTCGATTTTTATACCTGGTTGTTGCAGAGAAAAGTGGTAGTAGATGGAAATATCGATAGTAAACTATCTATCGTTAAAATTTTGTTTGAACATTAATTAATTAAAGCAATTTAATTGTAATTTTCGATAACTTTATAATCTCAACTTACAATTCGTGCCTTTCTGTTAAGATTGTATACGGTAGAGCGGGGTTCAAAAGCGGGCAAAAGGGTCCACCACGATTATTTATTTATTATTATTATTATCTGTTATTATTATTTTAAAAACAAGGAAATTATAGAATTTATTAACGATTCTATTTTAAAATAGAAGGCAAAAGATGTAAACTAGCCAAAATCTTATTTCCCACGATAATGGTCGTAAGAATCACCTCCTGTAACCATTCATCAATATTCATAACAAATATATTTTTTTGTTGGTAGTTTTTCTTTTATTTTGAGCTCTTTTATTTAGTTTATAATATCTGAATTTAATTTTAAGTATACGTTATTTAATTGTTTTATACTATAAATATGTTATTTTTAAGTAAAATTCAACAGTTTTTCAAGAAAGCTCTATAAAAGCTCACATTTGGGTGGGGTATAATGGTCGAACTGAACCTTGGCAAAGGTGTAAACAATAAAAAATCGTTAATAAAAAAGTAAATTGAGTTTAAAAAAAAACAATTTTACAGGAAATAAATTAAATAAATAGTTATTCCAATTCTTGCGGTAAATAGTTTGGACAAAATATTAAATCAAAACAAGGTTATATACAATCTTTATAAAAAAATGTACCCGTGAAATTTATATTTTGCATTATTTTGTAACATCTTTTCAAAATTAAAAATAAGATGTTGGATCTATTCGACCAGTTGGCTTTCCTATTTTACTCCGCATATGTGTTGAAAATGTACAGATGATAAATGTTAGAAAAATAGTAAAAAAACACATTTCTATAATTAGTATATGGGATTTTACTGAACATAGTTTGATAGTTCTTTGGTTGATACATGTTATTTGTTGTGATATAGTTCATCTAGTTTAGACAGTATAATTATTTGAAGTCAATTTGGGATCTATATGCTCCATTTTACTCTATATGACCGAATCATCAATTCAATTATTTTAATGCCTTTCGTTTTATTTCTACATAAAAAAATTTATAGTCATTTGCAACTATTGAGTTGTTTATCCAACATGTCATTATAATATACAATGTCCCTATTACGGCTGACAAATGTAAATAAACAAATTTGCTAAATGTCTTTAACTGGACAGTTGTAAATATAGTAGTAAATAAAAAATATTGCAAAAAATGGGAAAAATAAAAATATCGATGAAAATGTAATTAATGTTATGAATCTTATTATATAGACGAAAGTATTACAAGATTTTGAAGCTTTAGTTTAACCACTTTATATATTATATCTACGTTTTGGGCTCCGAGCACATCTTTTAAATCTATCCTACTATAGTTCCGCATTTTGTTCTCTACTAATATTATTGCAACGTGAGAAATTATATCACGCGTCCAAAATTCAATTATTCCGGGGATATGGATATATGTGATACTCACCTGAAAATCACGCTGAAACAATGTCACAGCCGTTATTGCATACTCTACGCTTGCCTTGCACTCACATGTGTTTTAAATTGAATGAACCAGTATTAAAATCAAAATTAAAAGCTTGCAATTAAAGCTTGATAAACAGAAACTTGATTGCACGATGGAATGAAATATGGGTTTTAATTTAATTATTGCAATATTTATATTTATTATTTAAATATTTGTTATGAATTCAGTTTATTACTTGATTTTTATTAATATTTGAATGCAACTAATCTGTATAATTTTTTAGTGAATACATAATACCTTTACCAATTTCCAATTACCAATTTATATAATTTGTAAAAATATTTTTAGAAAAATATTTGCAGATTACTGATAGTGAGAAAAGAAACGGGATTTAAAAAAAATAAATAAGTACTGATTTCTGTAACTTATCGTGCATAGGTTCCTACATATACATTAGAGTGGTCCTTAATATGGACAATTTCGAATTTCCTTGCTACCAAGGGCTCAAATGGTTCTAAATTGATAAAAAACAATTCTCTGAAAGTTCTTAATATTGTCTGTCAGATAGTAATTCAATCTACGTTTTGTATGGAAATAGCATGAAAACAATTTCAAAATTTTTTTAGAGGGTCGAATTCTCAATAAAAAATGGCACGAATTTTCACTTCTAGTTCATTTGTTGCAAAGTTATACCTAAAAAATTTTTTTTTTAATTTTCAAAATTTTCTCCATGCTATATTCATACAAAACTTTGATTGAATTGTGCTCTATCTAAAAGACAATATTAAAAGCTAAAACTTTCAGAAAATTGTTTTTATCAATTTGGAACCATTTGAGCCATTTGGAGCAAGGAAATTCAAAAATGTCCATAGTAAGGACCACCCTAATGTACATATATCGTATATATGTATCTAAACATTCGTATAGAGCAACTGTATTTAACATTTATTTACCAGTAATTGAATTTATATCTAGCAGATTAATAAATTTATTCAGATTAATTATTTGTTTTTCACAATTTGCGTTGCATTATATTGTGATGGTAGTAAAATGTAACAAATATGGTAATACAATACTTTTACTATTATTTGATGAAGATATTTTTGGAATAAAACTTTTATCGCTTTATACATAATAATAAGAATCAGGATTGCTATTTGGATATGCGCCTAAAGCGAGGATAATATGCTGTAAAAACAATTATTTTGCTAAAATGCGCTTTACCTTATTACCTTACTTTGAATATTTATATTGACTTATTAACTTCCCTTATGGTAAGTTATAGTAATTACAAAAAAAAATGAAAATGAACATTTTTGCATATCTTTTGACGTTTCAAAGACTTCTGATGGGACTAGTATTGACGAAATGAAGAACTGATCCTTTGGGAAGCCAGATCCAGTGTTTTCGGAGATCCATAAAAAAGTTTGAAAAATGCCATTTGGCGATCAAAAATGATCATTAGATTAACTTAATTATACATCAAATTATCAGATATCAGTTGTCATCAGGTTTCCGTACCAAGATTTATGTTCAAAGTTCACTCACATAGTTCAAATAAATTTCCTCAACATTTTCGGAAGTGTGGTTCAACCGAAATGAGTGGGTTTCAAAATTCAAAATTTTCGAAAAAATTCAAAATGTTCAAAAAAATTTAGAGTGCGATAGTCATATCATGCACGTTAGTTATAAATATATTGAGAAATATTTCAAAACCATGATGTATCAAATAATTGGAGCTATATTTAGTACAGTGTTCCATGTAAGGGCATGCATACGAAAGTAATTCAAGTGCATGGCGTGTTCTATACAATTCGTGTGTCAGTGCGCAACAACTAGGAATGCCTCCGAAATCACTTCATAATGTATTATTCAAAACGCATTTTCCAGAAGTCTGAGCTGGTGAAAACTACGCTGTAGATATGTTCTCGAAAACGCTGCAGGTTATTGAATTTTAGATCAGGATCTAAAAAATGCCGTGTCCGATGGGATTTATCTGTTTCTCGTAACGTGGGAAAACGAATCGAATGATTTTTCAGCGGGAAAGTTTATAATAAGAAATATAGTTTGAATGAAGTCGGTTTTACACTTTGATATGATATGATAATTTTAGAAAGTTCTTTACGTCTTGGAAGATTGCCTTGAACAATTAGTTTCTTTCTTGCAAATCTAAACAAATATCTTAAAAAAGCTTATCAGCTTTTGAGACGTTTTATATGGCTTCGCTCTAAGGGTAGATAAGTTTTTTCTCTCTTTGGTTAGAACGATGTTCCTGGTTCGACCACGATTTGAGCAGCCAGATGTCAAGCAGAAGGGACATAGGTTTTTACTTAGAAACATAGATAGCCTATTAATAAGTATGTTGCCAAGTGAAAATAGCCCTTACCAGACATTTCTGCTTTAATAATATATCATCACTATTATAGATATTGTAATAATCAAATTGATCACATAGAGATTGGACAACTGTTCGGGTAGCCATCTATAATAAAGCTACTTTGTTAGTAAGCTATTCATTACAACAGCTTATATAATCCTCAAGTTCAAAACAAAAAACTTTTTATTTAATTAATAACATAAATTAACCCTTAACGAAAGAGTGCCGCCATACTCGTGACATTGTAAATATTCTTACATAGGTCTTAAGACGTACCAAGAAGTATTTCAGGCTTTTATTAACTTCCCGTAGGGTAAATTATAGTAATCGTAAAAAAATCAAAAATGAAAATGTTTATATAAATTTACGTTTCAAAAGTTTCTGAACATTTTGGCATATGTGTGTATGTGTGTGTGTGCGGATACAAATTTTTGTCGACGATTTCGGGAAATGGATCAACCGATTTGAATAATTCAAAAAACATTCGATTCGTATCGATAATGAGACGTGCCGATTAGTTTTTGGCATAGGCAGGTCCAGCCGTTCCGACGATACGGGGCAAAAAGTGCCGAAAACGGTAACTCAGCTTTTAAGAGAACGGAGCGTCCGATTTTAATAATTCAATAAAATTTTTTACTTGTATTGAGAAGATGAAGAACTGATTAAATTTTTGGGAAGACAGTTATGGACTCTCAATAAAAATAAGTTAAAAAATGACATTTGGCGGTCAAATATGTTTATTGGACATATGTACATCAAATTCTCAGATATTTTATAGAGATTTCGATAATGTATACACAGTAAATTAATATATATGTATAATTTTAAAATTTCAACTATACTTATATTTTTCTTTCTTCTTCTATTTCTAGAATTACAATACCTGGTCTGAAGAATTCGCTGAATTTGAAGTCCGGACAGCGTGTGGGAGGATATGAGTATTATGGCGCAGGCTTGGAGCAGGGACAGTGCGGCGTCCATATCGGATCGGTGACCGCCAAAGAAGCAGGAGAATTCAAATGTTCGATGGGAACATCGCCCATTGAAAGTGATGCCAGCACGACAATCATCGTAGCACGTGAGTTTGATATTCTGATGACATATTAATAGAGATGAATGGCAATCTACTATACTATGTTTTAAATGCGTATTATATTCAGAATAAAGTGAAAAAAATGAAAAATTGACTCATTCTGAGATAAAATTTTTGGTACTATAGGTATAATATTTTTCAGAAGGTTTTTCAGTTTTAACACTTTTGTTATGAGTGTCACTCAATTGATAGGCACAACGATACATTTTTAGATTTTACCATCATTATTAGTGAAAATGTGTTGATATATTAAAATTTTGCTTCTAATGAACTAAAAATTACAATACAATACAAATTAGAATTACCGATACAGTAGAACTCCAATTATCCGAACTCAAACTATCCGAATCGCCGATTATCCGAATCACTTTCAGAAAAAAAATTGTCCAAAAAAAGTCTAAGTTGCAGTTAAAACAGCTTACATTGACGGAGATGTTTAAAAAACAATGATTTTTATTTCTAAACTTGTACATAAGTACATTTTATTTATGTTTCTTTCATTTAATTCAATAAAAAAAATAGTGCAATATCAAAACGTAACTTTTTTTCTCTCCAATGGCAATTTAAAAAAAAAACTCCGATTATCCGAATATTTGATTATCCGAATGGGTCCCGGTCCCCATTGATTCGGATAATTGGAGTTCTACTGTAGTTACATGTCGTTCATGGACGACATTCGTATACATAGGTAGTCGAGTGGATGTCGTCCATGGACGACATTTAAATCTGAAGGATTGAGCTTTTTCTAAAATTCTATGCAATTTTCTCCATTATTAACTTCAGCTAGTAATATCGCTTTATTGTCTATTTCCAATCATATTGTAATATACGCGGTTATTTTAATTTGTATATAAAATAACTCTGTATATAAAATTAAAGTTTAGTATAAGATGAATGTAATACTGAGAGCTCTGGAAAATGTAGACGAAAATAATAATTTACCGTAAGATATAGTAATCGCAAAAAAATGAAAAGAGGCAGATCTAGCCGTTTCGGAGATACGGAGCAGAAGAGTGAGAAAAATAGGTTTTGAGAGAACGTTGCATTCTATTAGTATGAAAACATTTTGCTGGTGTTGAAGGTGTGTTCATGATTAGTTTTGAGGAAGGCAAGATTCAAAATCTCGAAAAAAATTCAAAACAATAAAATTTAATTTCAAAGTTTCAAAAAAATTTTTTCTTAGAGAATGAGAATGAGAATGATTTGTATTTTATTTTAACTCTATCTAAAGTTCTAAAGCTCCCTCATATACTTGAAATAATTTTAACGTAATTCAGTTTGCATAATTCTAAAAAATATGAAATAAGGCCCATCAAAAGTAGTCTAATATATGAGGTCTTATATTTTGTCTATAAAATTCGAATCATGAATGTTGGTTCAAATTTAGTAGAAAATTATTCTTTTTGTAATATAATTAAAATACGCATTGGAAAGAAGAACCTTTTTCAAAAACTCATGCGAATTAGGGACAAAGTACCTAAATCTGGAACAAATATTGCTTCTAAAAAATAGAGTTTCGGGACTATCTTGGCTAAATCGAGATGTGTGGTTACTTTCGTTATAAAGATTCTTCATAATCAAAATTGAATTTTATTTAAGGATTTCACTATTCACTATTCCATTCATACTTTTGAAGAATACAATATTATATAAGTACAAAAATATGCTTTTCGTCTATCCAGTTTCCTCAAAAAAATATTTATTGTTAGAACTATAGTACAGTAGCATTTGGTGTGGATTTCTCGTCATTTTTTACTTAGCCACTTTGAATATATTAGTTTCTATTGTTTTTGCTTATAAGGAATAACGATCTAGTTTTCAAATATTTTATGATTATTGAGTATTATATTTGAGTTCTAAAAAAATTCAATGCCAATTTTCAAATTTTAGGTTGACATCGATCATTTTAGCCAAAATTTTTAATATAGAATTCTAATAGCTAAATATAGCATAGCTTTATTACATGCTTGCATTAAACAATCCCATATTGACCTTAAAAAATGAGCTTGATATATTAGATTTTTAATTACATTGACATGTACCTCTAAAATATTTTCAACATAGTTGGAATAACTCATTGTTTTTTTATTTTTTTCCTACAATTACTCAAAGTGAATATTTCACAGTACATACACGTCGAGAGAAAGTTAATTAAAAATTCGTCTGAACAAATATTACGTCATTTAATCTGTTTTACACCATTTGTACTCATAATGCATTTAATTTTAATTAAATATGTTTAATTAAATACAAATTTTGACGTTAGGTGAACCATCCCCACCTGAAATGGAAACAAGCCCGGGAACACAGGCTCGCGATACCTTCCGAGCAAACGATATTTTGACAGCCAGGTGCGTTGTCAGAGACGGCAGGCCACCTGCAAACATTTCTTGGTATCTGGGTAAGTTTATTAATATTCTGGGAAGAATATTATTAATATTAGTTTATTAAGAATTACATACAAAAATACTGTACAAGAATAAGAATACTGTATAAGTTATACATCCAATAATAGTTCTGTATACTGAAAGATAAGTCTACGTATTGTTCATGATATAGGGTACACTGGAGCTTAAAGGTTCGCGGGTAAAAAGGCTCAACACTATTATTTCGAAAACACGTCAAATACAGAATCTTTTAACGATACGATTTTAGAGTAGAAGGAGAAAGATGTGTAACTAGTCAACACCTAGGGGTATTCTAGAGTAGAAATTAAAAAAAATCGATTTTTTTTATTTCATATTTTCAAAGTTGAAGTATCTAATATATGAGTACGAGAAGGTTTTTGAAAATTTGAATCATTTTCGGAGATATAGGCATTTTACTGACTCGGTCTCCATACTGGTTTGGCTTCACGCAAAACTTTAAATACGTTTTTCTCAAAACAGACTTTTTCAGTACTGTTGACACGATTTCTCGAATTTTAATCGACCGATTTACTTGAAATGTTCAGAGAGTCTTGTTTATAGACCTATCTATAGCCCGAACTAGGATTATCCCCAAATTCCAATTTTTACTATTTTTAAAAAATTCGAGAAACTCAAAAAATCAGTAAAAAAATATTTTTTTCAAACAGTCGCCAATTTGTAAAAAATTTTTTTTACTCATTGTTCGGGCGATTGCGACATCATTGTAGATTAATAATCTTTTTATTTTTTGCATTTCCGATGGCTAGGAGGGCTGAAATCATGTCAAGACATGATCATCAGCTGCCAGTTTTTACAATTTTTTACTTTTTTTATTTTTTAATTATTGTTTCGTATTTTAATAATATTAATAAACAAGTGGTAAAAAAATGGATAGTGAAGACATTTATTGCTTTCTTTTACGACACTTTAAAAATGACCTAAAATTCATCGCTCTACACTAGAATACCCCCTGAATTCATACTGATGGAGACAATCAAAAGATGAACAGCCTTGTATCAATATTTATAACAAAAGTAATTTTCCTTGTTGGCAGTTCATTTTTACCCCGCCTATGGAGTAAAAAGGGATAGATGACAAATTTGGGAAATATTGTACGAAAGCTTATTTCAATAATTGGGAATTTACTAAGAATTTTACACAACGATGATAATTTTATATCTGTTTTGTATTGTGATGTAGTTTATTTGGTTTAGACAATATACTTTCCATTTATTCTATATAAATCTAAAATATTATTATTATTAATTATTATTATTAAATTTATTTTATTGAAATTTTACAGAATTACTTGTACTATAAACTATTTTTCTTTCCATACGACATATTTTTGCAAATTTGGTGTTTTTTTCGGATGTGTTTTAAATTGAACGGGAAATGAATAGCTTTACGGCGTTTCAGCGTAGAGCGAAATTATTTTCTATTTCATCATGGTTTGCATTTTTATCATTTTTTTATTTCACTGGATATCATAACATAAGTTACATAAATTGAAATACGAAACCGTTTTATTTTGTTCATGTAAAGTTAACTTCAAATTTGAGTTATTGAAGCATTCATTTGTAATATTTAATAAATATCTCTTCATTAAATTTTATTTCATAGTATTTACTCGAACAGTGTAGATAAAGTTTTTTTTATTGATTATTTGTTGACTTTGTATACACGTACATTAGTCTTCATACATTCTATAATTAATCTTTACACTTTTATTTTAGTTGCTTGTATATAATTGTATGGTGCACCATATATCCTATCTTTGTCAATTATATTATAAAATTGATTGGGAGGAAGATTTTTTTTCTTACACTCTCCCTCCATAGTTCTTGTCTACCATTTTCCGATTTTTTGCACTCCATAATGGCGTACTCAGCATCCGCCCTAGTCGCTCCACCCAAGCAATAGCAATTGGGATTAGTTAATTAATGGCAAAGTCGTAAATTATGGTAATACATGTCGGTAAAAATAATTATTATTTGATTTTAATAACGGCTATGTTTCAGCAGAGTTTTGTTTTCTATTTATATCATTACGAGATAATTCATTATAGTTAATTCATTTGCTAATAAAATTTCAGTATCAATTATTTCATTGCTATGATATTTATCTCGCGAACACTGTAGATAATGTATTAATTACTTGCAAAGTCGTAAATTGTGGCAAAACATGCCGTTAAATATAATTATCTTTTGATTTTATTATCTGCTAGATTATTGCCAGTTAGAGTTAATTAATTTTACTATTAAAATGTCAGCATCATTCACTTCATTGCTTTGATTCGAGCCCTTTTAAGAATATGTACTAAGCTTCAGCTATTAGAAGTCATTTTTTATAACATTAGTTTCAACTTTTAGATTTTGATTTAGTCTTAGTATTTGTATTGAATTTCTAAATATTCTATCCTGTGTTAGCTTAACGCTGATATCAATGCTGGTGCATTAGTGATTAACTCCTGCACATATACTATTTGTATTGCTTAGCTGCTTTTAGTTAGAAATTAATCGTTTATTTATCCAAACAGATGATGAACCAATCTACGATGGTCTGTCCGAACCTCAAGTGATCGATACCCCTGATGGCTTGGCTACCAGTGTCCAAAACATCACAAGGCGTTTGCAACCCAATGATGATGGCAGAAGGTTGACTTGTGTTGCCAGGCATTTGGCTTATAGAAAACCAAACCAAGCATCAGTAATTCACCATATCATCAAAGTTCAATGTAAGTAGATGAAATGTCTCAAATCAAAATCATGAATGATGTTTGTATTGAATTTTATTTTGTAATACAAACAAATAAATATATAGGATATGTGTATTTTGGAAATCATTTGTGTGTATATTTTTATCCTCAGATGAACCTCTGCCCAGGGAACGTCCAATTGGCATTTTCGGAGTGACACTCGGCGAGTTAGCATATATCAATGTCACAATTGAAGCAAATCCACGACCAGTATTGGAATGGACCGTCAACGGTGAGAGCATCCCAGAAGGATCAATTGACAGCACACAAAGATTTGAAGTCACATCAGCTCAACCTTTGGTAAATAAATGAATATTTTATACAAAACTAGGACTGAAATATAAAATAGACAGAAAACTTCTTATGGTTACCTTCATATATATTTTATGTTGACCATGTTTATTTTCACAGGGACAAAATCGTTATAATGCCACATTACGTATTTCTGATCTGACTTTGGAAGATACAACGAAGGAATACCGCCTTCGCGCCAGAAATGAAATTGGCATGACTGAATATGAAATCAGAATTAGCTCCAGTGAACCACCAATGGGTAAGAAGGCGTTTTATATTTTATTATATTTTTTTCATGAATAAGAATGCATATACTTCATTTGCTTCATATGTGAACAAGAATCTGAACTATTGTTCGAGTTCCATAAGGTGATGCAACGAACGTTCTACTACCATCTTTTTCTGAAGCCATCCCAATTATTGCTTTTTTCTTTTTATCATGTGATATTAGCAAATTTTACTTCAAGACATATTTGGACCTATATTCTCATGTTGGAATTTTTTAAATAAGTGGGTGCTTTTAAATGTAAACTGTAGTCTTTAATTTGTAATAATTTAATGTCTATATCGTACCAAAAATGTATTTATATTTTCTAGGGCGGGTCGATTTTAAGGTACATAGGCACGTATGATTTTCGGATACTAGGGATCAAAATAAGATACTTTGCTGAAGAAACCGTATCTCTAAAATGAATTCTGGTGCCCCGTGCATTAGTAAAGTATTTTGCGACTTTTTTTGACCCATACAAATCGACCCACTCTAATGTTTTCCCAATTAAATCTTGTCATCCACTTAACTTTATATAATTCGACTGCTGTTTTCTGTACTTACTGTTTCTGAAGAAACTATAAATGTACATCAATTTCTTTCATTGGTTCTTTTGAATATTTTATTAAATAGTATTGATTTGATTCTATTTCAGGCGGAGTTTTGGACCTTGGATCCATAGTTGGCATTGTCGTTGCCTTAGCAATTGTACTAATTGTGGTTATTTTGATCATTTTCGCAAGAGCAACTGGACGCTGGTGTTTCCACGGTAAGTGATTAAGAAAATTAGATTTTTTTAAGTAGAGAAAATTATTAATTTGATTATATATAGATTATTAAAAACTTCATGCCCGAAGCATGTGAAAACATAGTGAAGCTAGACATAGATATTTTTAATTAGCAAAATACATATTAGATGATGCATTATTAATTATAAAATATAATATATAGTTTTGCATGAGACATAAATATTTATTTATATATAAATAAATATATGCATCTATTATGTAATACAATATATGTTTTTTGTTTGTATCATAGTATAAAATTCTAAGTTCAAAATAATTTGTTTCTCTTTATACAAAGAGGAATTAATGCATTCATGCCATGGTTATTTCAAGTCAGTTATTTCCATATGTATAACTGCCCTGAAGTTACCAGAGCCAGCATTTTTTTATGAATATTACGAGAACCAACAAAGTATTGATTTATAGATGAATGAATAGTGTCTATAGTAAATATTAGAATTGTTTATTTTTTACGATTAAAATGATCCAATCTGCATATTTATCCGTACTAATCTCAGGAAATTTGTCCACAAATCATCAGCTTGGGTCATTTTTGTTTTCTTAGTTGGTTAATTTATAATGTTTAGTTAGATACTAGAAAACATTGGTTAAACAAGAGCTAACAACATTTAATTAAACATTCTTCATGCAAAATATGTAACAAATGAGATTTATACGCATTATTAACTTTAATATCTTGCACCCATAAAACCATTAATTATTAATTTGGAATTAGTTTATATTTGGATCACTTTTTTGGCTTATCCGAGGATTTTATCTTAAAATCTACCATCGCTCAAGTTCAGTTAAAGATCTATAACTTTATTAATGAAAAAAATATATGGTAACTAAGTTTTAAATAACAAAAAAAAATGGCTTTGCGGTTATATTAACAAATTGCTCTTAATATCGTTCTAACGTGGGTTAGTTTTTGTTTTGAACTATAAATAATATTAATGCATGTTTTTAAGCTCCTGAATGCTATATACACTTTTGCATGATTTAGCGCAATTTTTGTATAATAATAGTGAATTGCATGATTAAAACTTTGATAAAGCATTTGCATGTTTCTCTTCAAACTTAATCAATAATCCACTAAAATTATACCTGACTTTCAATCATATTAATATTAATTTATATCATAGAACTATTGTTACCATATGTAACGATAATAAACCATATTATGTACAGACAGTATACTTAAACCAATACAATATGTAAAATTATTAGTTAAATTTGTCCAGACTGAAGCCAAATTTCTATTTTTATTCATAAAATTAAATTAAATTTGAAAGGGGTAATTATAAAATTTTTGTATGAAACGTAGCTTAGTAGTAGTAAAGTATTAAAAGTAACTGCTTTGGCTTTCTATAGTAGCTTTCAGTAGTCGACTAAATGTTGTGTAATAATAAGTATTTGCAATGATAATTTTCAACGTTGATTACATTGTAATTGCAAATTAATTGTTTGAATCAGATCATTTTTTTCATCTATGAGACAAAAACACGCAAACACGATTATGTAATACAACAAATCATCCTTTTATTCTACTGATTATATTTTTTATTTCTTATTATTTTCAATAATTTTAATTTATGTTCTAACATTTCATTATTAACTAAAATTGTCATAAAAAATTTACTAATCTTTTTGTAGCCTATAAAAATAAATTCATAGTTGACCTATAATTTTCAATAGTTCTTATACCAGTCAATAAAAATGTAGTGCAATTGACCATTTTTATAAATTATATGTTAAGAGTGATGATTAACAAAGCTGAAATTATTTAATAAAGTTTATTAAATATATACAAAAGTTATATTTATTTTTGGTTTAAAATTCATGTTCTCAAAATAAATAAAACAAGTATTAGGCAATTTTAAGCACCACGTTTTTCGAGCTTGAGAAGAAGTCGCGTTGTATATATTTTATGAAGGGTAATACAGTCGTAAATTTATTTTATATAAAATTAGATTTAAACGGAATAATTATTATTTGTACTGTGAAAGTAATTAATCTCAATAAGATACACACAACATATTTTTTTCACAACATACACCCTTCAAGAGTAAAACTTACTATGAAACATTTTTTCCAAAATCGTGATTTTGATGTTTGATCAAATTGTTGTTAGTTCTATGTATCTCCAATATTTTTTCGTGTCTAACAGGTGGTTCGTTGAATACTGATTTGAGCAAAAACGTCGTCGATGGGATGGACTCGGAGGCCCAAATTAATGTCAACGATAATAGTAACGAGACCGACGAATACACGAAGCAACATGTTGAAGACTATCGCGACCACCACAAGATCTCCAATGGAAAAGATAAAGATGGCAAGAAAACAAATACACCAGTTTAAATACGAATTTTATTACATTATATGTCTATTTAGCTAGTTTTCAAAAAGCATTTCGTTTAATGATCACTAGTTTTGCATTTTCTTCATAAAAAATGTCCAAATGCGCTGTTAACCTAACGCAGATAATTTGATTTTATAGAAAATGAATGCGAAACATAAGGCGAAGTTGAAATTCTAAAATATTTGGGAGGGTGAAATATATTATTATATATTGATATGTATATATATATATATATATATATATATATATATAAACCAGGTGTCCCAGACCTTAAGGTCAGGCCGAAACCGGGTAACAATATTGACCTTAAATGTTCTGGAAAGATTTGGAACAAAATGATCTTACATTGTTTGGAAATTATGAGCTTTTAAAGTAAATTTAGAGCTTTGGTGAAATTCTGACCATTTTTCGGTTATCAAGAGCATTTTTTATTTTTTTTTTTGTTAATTCAAACTTTGTCCGATTTTGTTTATTTAAACCGTAACCGTCAATAACATTTATATAATCACAGTCAAAAATTATAACACACTTGCAGACAGTTTTCGAGAATTTGGACTTTTTGTTCAAATATGATTTTTTTTAAATGGGTCGACTTAGAGGCTCTCCTTTTACAAAATTAACAATTTTAATCAAAATTTAAATTTTTTTAAATGTTAAATAAAAATTAACGATAATAACCAAAAAATGGTCATATTTTTACCAAATTTCGAGATTGCATTTAAAGCTCATAATTTCAAACAACGTGGAATAATTTTTAATTCTAAATTTTTTAGGACAGTTACGGGCAATAATATCACCCCGTTTGGGCTTGATGTTGAGTTCTAGGACACCCTATATATATATATATATATATATATATATATATATATATATATATATATATATATATATATATGTTCTCATAAAAAAGATCTGACTATGAAATACTCGCAGCAGAGGATTGAATTTTAATTAGAATAATTTTATGATATTTTTCCCTTGCTGTGAGAGATTAGTGTACTCAAATAGTTTTAACTTATTCGAATCTACTTAACAATATTACTTTTTGATACTCGCAATACTATATTGAAAAATCGGTATATGGAATTATCAGTTATGATATTGAATTATTCACTCTCTCTTTGCAATAAAATTATTTATCTTCATAATTATTAAATTAAACTACTGTAACAATCGTTTGTAAATTTTTCTATGAATTTTCTGATGATTTTTTTATTATGATATCTTTGTCTATGATGATAACTATTAGTTCTATAAACCGATTCAACCAGAAATAATTTTTTGTACAAATCCACATATTGATTAATTTTTGTGCACGAATGAAATGTTAAGGCGTTGTACATAGAATCTTCTCAAATGTTTGATATTATAGATTAATCGTAAATTAACGATAACAATTTAAATAATAGTAATATTAAAAATAGTATCATAACGTTTATTATAATTATGTAGTTATAAAATGTTTATGATAGAATATATAAATATATTTTTCATTCCTTTTATCATCAACATATGCAGTTTAATCTAAATATACATGTGATATTTCAATAAAGAAATCACTTAGTTTTTTTAACAAATTTTCATGTTTTGAAAATCGTTTAGATTACATCTGCATCATTTGTATATATGAGAAGCGAAAAGCACTTCAAAAATTAATCAAAAAAGAAATATTCGAAGAGTTTTCAATCTTTTATTAGGTATAAACGCAAATTATATTAATAAAATAGAACTATAAGTAAATTGAATATATATACATGCTGTTGAAATTGAAATCTTATATTAATTTATTATACAGTTAAATTATTTCTAAATTATAACTGTTCAAAAATATAGTTGCAACAGGATAGCATGTATGTATATGAAAATTTTCTGAAATGATTATATTTAAATGAATGTTGCATATAATAGAAAGAATAAATATTAGCTATTCAATGTTGATTGTGCGAAAATAATAATGTTTAAAGTTTATGTACTAACCGTAAGACTGCATAATTCAAATTAAAATCTTATTTATAATGACAATTGCATATATTGTATAAAATTTGCACTTCGGTCAAACCAAACAACATTCCATTATTAATAGGAAATCAATGCGGAAGTTATATTTAAAACGGATTTATTAAAATGAATATAATTCAAAAATAAATAATTCATGTTAAAACAGGTCATACTTAACGGTCTCTAAATTCAATAAATACATTTTCTTCTATTGCCGAAAATTTTTAGAAAAAAAATCTGTATCCATATTCAATAGAAGTGAGTTCTATTTACAGATTATAAGAAATTTCTTTTAACAAAATCTAAATGCATATTAACCTTCGTAGGAAATATTTGATTTTTTAATGCAGAGATTTTAAGACTTTTATCAAATCAATGTTAAAGTAAAACCATAATAAATAATAGTACTCTCATATTATCTGTTAATTTATAAAATATTTAACTATCATACTTTTTCGGTAAAGTTTAATTGCAATACCGTTCCAATATTATCCAGCAGCTTCTTCATAATTGTAAAAATTCTATTTGCAATAGCATAAATTAATTATATTAGTTTTAAATTAGGTTTGTTTAAATTTTCAAGTAATCAATTACATTATATACATTAAATTATTTATAACAAACAAAATTAATCTTTTTTGTTCTAGATACTTTATTATTATTGTTTAATCTCATTAATTATTAAGAATAGTCTAGAATTCAGAACTTAATAAAATGATCAATAAATTACTAAGAAAATATTCTTAAAGAATTTTTTGTATATTCGTTTAAAAATTTCACAGCTTTTATATCAATGAAGGTTTTTATAAAATTTATATGAAATATTCTACAAGCACATTCTTAGAATTAACATCAGAAATAATTGATTATATACACACAAACATTATATATATATATATATATATATATATATATATATATAAATTATGTTTGTGTGCATGTTTTCGGATATATAGTATGTCTATTTATAGAAAATTAAGGAGAATAGTATTTAATATTTTTATAAGTAATTTGCTTTGTATTGCCTTAGTAATTATTTACAATATATTATTTGTGATTATTAATTTAATGCGTATTTTTCTAAATAATGTTTTCTTTTCTTAAATGGGCAATAATGGCCAAACTGCTTAATTAAATGTGTTAATAAGTAAGAAATTATTTTTTGTGACCTTATTTCTTTTCAAATATAATATAAAAGTAAAAATAACTATATGTAATCAAGAAGTTAATAATATGTTTAATGATTGTTTATCAAGAATATATTATGACAATGTTAAAAGTTATACTTTATTCAATTTCTCTATTTTTTATATCTGAAGATGAACTATTTATAGTTTGTTTCTACTTTTGTCAATATACATGTTTAAGTATACATCCAAACGCTAATTTGTATAATTATTTTATATATATAAATATATATATATATATACATAACAAATTATACAAATTTTCGTATATAATGTATAACTTTATGTGAGATTTATACACGCACGTGATTATGTATGTATGAATAAAATGAATATAACGAATTCTTAGGAAAAAATGTTTGATCATTTACGTTTTTAACTAATTATAACTTTTAACAATTTCTTTTGGTTAATTTTTGTTCTGATTTATTATTTCGTTATAGGTTCCACTGAAAATACTGATGTGGCCAAAACGAGACATGTCGGAGAAACGTAAGTTATTATTTATATAGTTATTTGTTTGAATATTTATTGATAATTGTTTTAATTGGTATTATTTTTAACGTAAATTACTAATTTATAATTTATAAATGCATATTTTTTTATTAATGAAAAAATTTAAAGAGTATAATTATTAACAATCAAGTTACATGTTTTATGTTATAACACATTTAGTAATCTATATTAAAATTATTAGATTGCACCGTATATTAATACATTTTCGAAAGCATTTTTTAAATAAAATATAAACATACATATTACAATATTTGAATTTAATTCAATTTTGTGCAAAAATTTAAATAGTGTTATTTTGTTCAAATTCTTGCTGATTGCTTATGTTAATATATAGAAATATTCCCGATTATTTAACTACGAAAAATATTATTATCTAATTTTCAAAGTTAAATTTTTATAGTTTTAGAAATATTTCTCTTAATAAAATTAATTATTACTTTTGCAAGGTAAAATAATATTTTACTTGTAACAATATTTTCTCTATTTTTTTGCTCAACTATATATTTTTTCACTAAAATTTTTGCATATATAAAGTATTTATTCACAAGCATGTGACCATAGTTTTATGTTATTGTAATAATACATATTGCGCATCTTAAGAAGATTTCATTCGATATTTTCATTTTTTTGTTATTACCTTACTAATTAAAAATAATTACTAATACGTTATTAACTAAACTGTTGTTGTAATTATTAAACTCACAACCTATGATTTTACTAACATTTGTAACTTTTACTCGAACTTTACTAACTTAACTATACATATTAAAATAATCAATGTCGTGAAAAAGAATTCTTTGCTAATTTTTTGTCTAACTTTGGATTTACTCATGCAGAAATAGATTTTTTTTATCTAAAGTACATTTTTTTTAATATAGTTCAAATTTAGATGCGCAATATGTCTAATTTATTGGTAAATGTGTGATAAATATATTACATACAAGTTTGAATTAAATAAGTAGTGTGCGTACTCATAACATAAGATTACAAGATGATTTTTCGTTGATTTTATTCGCAATAATTAATATGAATTTTGGCAAAATTCTTGAATTATTCACATGAATATTATTGAATTAAATGAGAAACAAAAGTGATAATTACCTTTTTTTCCTTTGTTTTGAGTACGCACTCGGGTTATGTAATAATCATACTAACAATGCATGTTTTTCGTTTGTTCCACATTTCTGGGTGTTCTGCACGTTCCTGCTTTTTTGGTATTCTTATTCTAACCTAATACGATTTGGAACTTAACTATTGAAATTTGGACGTCCATATACAATACGGCAATAGCTCACCTCAAATGATAACATTATTACCGCCTTCGCTTCTGGACCAATCCCTTAGGCCTCAAAGACCAGGCCAAACAAAAAGACCTTTATCTCTTCACCACTCATCTGTGGATGATGGATCAACTGATGATCAGCCATCAACTCCTTCGGATTGGAGAACTATTAATAACAATAGCCCTGGTACGCCGTCTTCGTCGCCAACCTCAGATATAGTGGCAGGACCTGGTTCCAATATCCGAATAATGGGTGGTTCCAATTCGCGCCTAAACGCACGATATGCTACCAAACAACTTCTGATGAGCCATGCTGAGAAACGAATTAATCGGAATAGTTACTCTACGGATATTTATTAAGTTATTTCACAATAAGTGCTTTGATATGTTAAATGAAAACTTCATCTTCTATTTGCTGAAGCAACTTTTAATTTTAGGAATTTGTATTCTACAAATGTTGTTAGAAAAGTGCATAAAATAGATGAAAATGAAAAAGTAAGCCAAAGATTTAGCCAAAATATTACAATTTCAAATATTTTATAAATTCTTTCTGTATCAATTTCTAATTGCGAATTATTAAAATGTCTGAATTGTTATTAATAAACAGATTAGCAGAAACAACGGCGCGCTTAAAGCAACTCTGCCAGGATTTATATAATAATGTAGTTGAAATTGATGTAAATGCAAAATTAGTATGAGTTTCTAAAATTTAGGAAAAATAATCGTAAGATAATAGAAAAACAAATATTCAGTTCAAATCATTTTGGACAAAGCATTTGCGTTTTAAATCAAAATTGAAAATTAATATTATTATTAATCTATTAATTAATTGAAATTATATTTATTTGTTGTGTTTAGCATGTTAATTATTAAATTACATGAGTTGCAATATAATATTGTATTACAGTACAATATCATATCGATTGTCAATATGATTTTGCATTACTGATAGTAAGTATAATTTGTTGAATCCCAATTGTTTAAAAATTTAGTTTAATTATAAGATCATTTCTACCTCCCACAGTGTTATTTATATAAATTAGGATTAAAATGTAAATATATTATTAGTAGCAGCAGGTATTAGAAATTAGTTTCTTTGTAAGTATATTTAAAAATGAGTTTGTGTATTTAAAAAATTTTGGTGCATAGTACTTACATTAACTGTGAATAACAAATATTATTGACAAATGCATCAAAGTGTTTATTGTTACAGTAATAACTTAAATAAATGTATTAAATATTTTGGATTTTTGCATGGGTGTTTTGGCATATGGTGTATCATAATATATTTTACACAGAGCACTTTGCACTATCATCATTTTATTTGATTGGCATGACGAAAGGTAAGATTATTTATAGATTTTTTTTATTTGAATCGTTTATTGATTTATATTAATTTGGTGTTTGGAAAATATGTAATTACATTAACAGATTTTAATATTTATTAATTTTTTACAAATATATGACTTTACCTTTATTCTCACCATTTTTGTTCCAACATTTAAATGTTTGTTCAATTATTATAATATTATGATGGCTGTGAAAATATAAATTTTATGATAGAAAATTATCATTTCAACTAATACCTTAATACTGTTTCAGAAGCGACACTGAAAGTGCAGAAATTTCATCTCATTCCAACAAGCGTCTTTGGGCAAAGAAGCTCGACAGTTTGAAGGAAACTTTCTCGATCAAAGGCAAAAAAGGCGAAGATATTAGTATGCAAAAGCAAACTTCTAAACCATCAGAAATTCCATCTAACGAGCCTGCTGCAGAAGAAGAACAGGCGCCTAAGACGCAGGTTGAAGTAGTATCTGAGGTTGGAACGACGGATGAGGTCGATGCGGCAAAGGTAAATGCCTTTTTTTTTAAAAAAATGTAATTATACAGTGGTCCTCCGAATTACGAGTGTTTCGAGATACGAACTAATCTATTTTTATTTTTATGTCTTATTTTCAGATAACCCAGACAGATAGTGGCATTGTTTACGCGGAATTAGAATTAAAACCAGGGGCTGGACCAACTGTAAGACCAACCGTTAAAGTTGAGAATGATAAGACTGAATATGCAGAAATAGTACACGTGAAACAAGACAAAGACTCTCCAAAGTGAAATCTCGATTAAAATTGTTTCATTTTAATTTGGCTAATTCACGGTAACAAAAAGCTCCTTTAATCCAATTCCTCTCTTTATTAGTATTTAATCCTGGCGATTTGATTTCATATCATTTTACTAATTATATAATCGAATCTTAATTTAATATCACAAAATTTTTCGTGTCGTACTAGACAAAAAATATTCATAATATTGCCATTCAATACGAAATCATCTAAGTACAATCATTATTTAATAAACATGCCATATCTTCATGAAAATTGTAGAATTAATGTTAGTAATTTTATATATATAAAAATCGTAATGTAAGGAAAAAGTATTTGTAGATATTTAAGGGTTTAAGTCAAATATAAAATATAAAAAACATTGAGATTTTGTTAGTATTCACAAATTATTTTAGAACTAAAATATTCAAATTACAATTTAATTATGAATGAATTCAAAGTCTTAAATGTCTATAGATTAATAAAACAAAAGTTTGTTTTGTCCAAAAATATATTAAATAACATTTATTTACAAAATTATGTAATATCACAATTATAAAACAATCTAATATGTAATATTAATTATTAATTCCATGTATATATATCTGAAATTGATTGGCTTAATTTTCTTTCATAAATCAACTTCATGATATCAATCTCATCAAATCAACTTATAATCTCAAATACACTCATAATCCCATTTTTATTATTGAAAAAGTGCTATCAGATGCGAAACAATTTCCATGTGTTGACATGACATGAAAAATTTTACAAAAATATTTTCAAAATCAATCATGAATAAATGAATGGCATTGGTTCATTTCATTTTAAATTGTTTGTGGTTTATTCTCATTTTACCAAGTTAAAAATATTATCATAACCATATATTTTCGGCTTTTATTTGCTTCTGATAAGCATAAATCTTGTTCATTAGAAAAATGTATTATGAATGTAATTCAGCAATTTGCTTTTAACACATTTTAATCTGATTTAATTATATACAATTAGTGAGCATTCGTCACAAAATAAAATTTAATTAGCAGCTAATACGTCATTTATACTTTCAGGATAAAAAACATTTCTTTGAGTATGGCTTGAACGCTGTAATTCTTTTTTAAAATAATTTACTGTCTTTTGCAGACCTTCATGCAGCGAAATCTATTTCAAGAATAAAAATGGTAAGAATATTTATAATAAAACTATAATAAGTTTGTTACCTTTGGTGACCAATTCAAAATTTCACGTGCCCTTGTAATATCAGGTTTTCTACGTTGGGGATCATCTTCCACCGCTGCAGTTTTTAATATTCTGCTACTACCTCCTGCTATATCTTTTATTATTACTGCAAATTCTATTTTGTAAAATTGTATTAGATATTTTTATAAAATGATGAAAAATATCTTATTTTTATGATAATACCTTCAATTGTGTGCTCAATAGGATTACCGATGTTTACAGGTTGTGTATAATTTGAAGCCATCAGAGCCACTAACCCATCCACTAAATCCGTGATGTACTGGAAGGATCTGGTTTGGCTTCCATTACCATATACCTAGATTTTTTTTGTTATTAATATAAAATTTCATATTTATACAATTAATTAACATCTAGTTGGTACTGATTGTGACAATTTTTCAGTAGATTTATTAGAATCAGCAGAACATTTTAAATATAAAAATGGATTATTTTATAAATATATTAAATGCCTAAGTTTACACTCACAGTAATGGGTTCATTTCTTAATGCTTGTAATATAAAATTGGAAACTACTCTCCCATCATTCATATGCATTCGGGGCCCATATGTATTGAAAATTCTTGCCACACGTACATTGACTTTCTCTTGCTTTGCATAAGCATAACTTAAAGTTTCAGCTACACGTTTCCCTTCATCATAGCAAGCTCTGGGACCTGAAGACTTATTAACTTATACACAACTGCAGGTTTTACATTTAAACATATTTACCTATTGGATTGACATGACCCCAATATGTTTCCGGTTGTGGGTGGACTTCAGGATCTCCATACACTTCGGATGTACTTGCTATTAGAACTTTAGCACTGACTCTTTTGGCAAGACCTAACAAACAGATATTAGCATAAAAAATCTTTTACATATAATGCTTTCCAAAAAGGCTGATCGTACCTAACATGTTAATAGTTCCTAAGGTGTTTGTTTTTATAGTTTTAACAGGATTATACATGTAATGAGGAGGACTAGCAGGACTTGCTAAATGATATATTTCATCTACTTCTATGTATAATGGATTTACAATATCGTGATGAATCAACTCAAAATTTTCATGTCCAAGCCAATGCTCTACATTACGTTTGCGACCTGTGAAAAAATTATCTGCGACAATAACTTCATGGCCTTGCATCATAAGAAGATCTACTAAATGAGATCCCACAAAGCCTGCACCTCCAGTGATCTGAAACCCATAATACAACTTATTATATGTTAGTTTGAGGAATAAATAATAAGAGCACTGTAAGATGTCTCACTTACTAAAATTCTCTTTCGAGCTTGATAATTTAAGAACCTGACATCAGGATGTTTTTTCGGCATACGTGCTTCCAACTCTCGCAATTTGCTTTCCAGCTCGAAAATTCGTTTTTTAGCCTCATCCATGTTCTTAACATTGTTATCTACTGCTCCAAATGTTTGGGATTTGTATATGTCATTTTCCTTGGGGTTATCGTAATAATCTATGACTTTCGCCTTTTTCTCAACGACATTTTTTTTATTGATTTCATTGGAGTATGATTCATTGGCAAATGTTTTGTATATACCTAAAACTAAGAGTACTATAACAAAGATGTATTTAACAAAATTGAATGGTTTTAAGAAATTAACCTAAGAGAAGGCCTATAGTTATTATTATGACATTGCGAAGTTTTTTACGACAAATAAACATAATTTATTAATTATCGGCTTCATTTATTCTTGAACATTGTTTTTCAAATTGTGCTTTTTTGGTGTTCACTTCGGTGTCACTCAGACATTTTGACATTGTCATAAATGTCAAATGATAAATGTCAGAAACTCATTGTCAGTGTCACACACATGCCTTACTCTTCTTTTATCTATGTGCCTTACATTAGATTAGAATATAAATATATAATATTCTATAATGTCTATTAACAAAAAAAATTAGTTAAATTAGGTCATTTTGTATTTTGCTCCGAAATATTCGATTTAAACGAATATATGAGCGACGAGTGACTTTTTTTCGGAGTTTGGTAGCCATGGGTGAAACAAACTGACAGGACGGTTTACATCTGAAATCTGTCAGAACTCGTTTATATTTTTTATTACTATTTGCCTTAAAAAGATCAGCATGTTTATAATTGTGCTTTTTTATTTTATAATTTGTGCTAAAATTATGAGACGTGTCAGTGCCGCCAAATCATGTCCTTACAATAAAACCAACAAGCAGAAGGATGAAATATTCAATTATTTGTTGTTCCGAAGAAATTTTGAAGTTAACCAGGTGAAAAAATATTCGATGTAATAGAAAACGCAATTGTGTAAGTATTCCTGGTCAACATAATCTATTTACAGGCAACAAATACATGTTGATACAAATTTAACATCCACACACTAATGTTATAAATTGATTTGATATGATGTGCTAAATAAAATTGATTTTACTTATATTTCTTTACATTCTTTTCTAGATTCGGATTGGTTGCACATCCAGTAGTGGCTTTATATTATTTGTAGGTGATATGACACTCCAACTTCTATACTGGAAATGCTGTATTCGCTGAAAAGTAAGTTCAACCATACTTATTAAGCTCTTAGTTACTAAAAGCTGCTAAAATGTTAAACTTTTAAAATTTACAGGATATTCAACAGGTTTGTCAATGCAGCTAATAAAAGTTCATTAAAACTCTGGAGATTATAATAAAATTTTCGTACTGGAGATGCTGTAGTAGCTGTTAAAAGTAAGTTCAACCCTAGTTACTAAAAATTGTTAAAATGTTTAATTTTCAAAAATTACAGAAGATTTAAAAGTTTGCCAATGCAAACTTTTGAATATTCTGTAAGTTATGAAAACGAAGAATAAAAGTTCATTAAAACATTTCAATTGAGTTTGTGGACTGTTAAGATTTGGTTTAAGTACATGACGCCAATTACTTTATCTTCGAAAGATAATTCAAATACTGTTTAGTATTTGAATGTTCATGATGCTTTAAATTTAATGGAAACATTACTCTTTGACTTATGTATTATATCTTATTTACAAATAATAAGTGAGTTATCAATAATAAGAAATATAACTGTAAGATCTTTATAAGTTAATTCACAATAAGTAACGCAGTATTTAATATATACTATATATAATAGCTGATCACAGCATATCGTTTGATTCTATAAAGAACTTGGATATTAAAACTATCTAATATAATATTTGCCATTTGGTTTGGCATTATGAAATGCTGTTGTTCATATATTTCAATGGGCAAATTTGAAATTATTGTTGATGTGTAAAGATTAACACAGATCACTTGAAACTTTTAAATCCTAGTTTCTTCAGATATTGAGTGAATGATGAATACTTAAACTGTTAATAGTAGCTAGAACTGCCTCGTTATTGCTAGTCTTCCTCTTTAAAATTATTTGTCACTGATATTATAAATCAAGAAATTTAAGCCAACAAAATTCTAATTATTGTATTGATTTTCTCAATACTGCAATTTTGTATTTTTTCAATACAATTTTTTTTTGGCTCTCTGTGGCATAGCGATTAGAACCTTTTATCTATGATTAGAACTAATATATATAAGGTCTTTGAGTCAGAAGTTCTGGGTTTGATACCCGCCTCGGACATTATGATTATTCGGAGTAGTGACGGCGGATTTTGATTGGAAATATAGAAAGCAACATGTTTCCAATTACCTACTCCGGCAGTGGTGTATCAATTAAAAATAACTCAATTTTACCGATATTGTAATATTGAATTCATGAAAGGGATAGGACAATCTTTTCAAATTCCATTTATAAAGCCATTATATAATTAAAGAAGTCTGTGTAATAGCTCATATGGCTTCTTAGGGTTCTAATTACTGTTAAATAAGAATAAAAAACATGAATAAATAAAAAACATGAATAAATAAAAAGCTAGTGGTCGCCAGTATTGTGCTTTAAGGCAACTTTCTGAAACAGTAGGTAATTAAACATTTACGAAATAAAAATAATCAGTCATCTATAAGAAATTGTCAATGAGTAATAACAATTGTTTTAAATATTTTAAAATAATCATTATAGATTCTGTGAATTTCATCGTTGAATTTCATAAATATATAAAAGTCAAATTTTATGGAAATAATATAAGTCAAATATGAATTTGAGCGACGACCTTCGATTATCTATAAGAAAGGAAACAAAGCAAATACTTCTTTTCTTCACACTGTGGTACAAGCAATATGATTTTTGAATCACTCTAATCGGATACGACGTTTTCTTATTCTTTGCACTTTTTGCTCCGTATCTCCGAAACCGCTGGATCTGCATTTACAAAAATGTAAAGGATTGTTCACTCAATCAATACGAATCGAATGTTTGTTTAATCATGCTAATTGGTTGTGCCGTAAAAACTGGTCAATTTTAAGTTTTTTGCTCCGTATCTTCGGAAAGGCTGGACCTATCAAAAACTAATCAGCACATCTCTCTGTCAATACGAATCGAATGTTTTTTCTTGAATCATTCAAATCAGTTGATTCGTGCTTTCGATAACGTGAAAAAAATGCCTTTATCCTTCAATAAAATGGCAATTTATTTTAAAACTTTTGGCAACGTAATTTAATTAATTTGACCATTTAAATATATATATATATATATATATATATATATATATATATCATGCGATTTTGCCCTGTGTCTTTTCTGATGGCCACTCGCAATCTATAAGGTGAGCTTGAGCGTTCCCTTCTTAAAGCTCCTCACGCAACATAAATGTACGCTCTCACACATCCCATACTCTTATTTCGTATGCAACCGTCGAAGATTCAAACTTGTGGACCAAGTTACGTGATTAGTGCAATAATATCAATTGTATCTGTCGAACATAAAGATAAAATTTGTATTTTATTGTGCTTTGCAAGGAGCAGATTAAAAATGGTTAGAAAAAGTTTATTGGATATACTGAATGTGGTATGTACTTCTCATTAAATAATTGAATTATAAAACTATAATTCATCAACTATAAAATTTTGTAAACATTATTTTGTTGTACACATAGTTGGGAAAATATATTTCATAAGTGCATTTTCATTCGTGATAACTTTATACAAATAATAATCCAATAAAAAAATTGCTACAGTAGTGAAAAAAATCATCTAATTCATTTGTTCCAATTTATTGATGTAAACATATCATTTTACTTATATCTACAAATGCATATATATCTTTATATTTTATATGCTCAGACAATTATTTCATTTGCCCCATCACCACAAATATTTTTTATGTTTCGGGGGGAACCATTAGAAAGAACCAACATTTTTGTACATTTATACATGCAAATGTATTTTTTTTACTTTTGTCTACAAATTCTACATATATTTTTATATTTTACATGCTCAAAAAAATTTTTTTTATTTATAAGATTTCGGGAAAATGAGATGATTCTTTCTTCAGGAATCATTAAAACTAAGCAATTTGCATTTTTGTACAATCATTAAAACTAAGCATTTTTTATACATTTGTACATTTTTTTAATTGTTTGAAAAGTAATTCATATTTTATATTTGAATTATTGAAACCTGACATTTTTTCAAAAATAAACACTTGTTCTAATAAATATTGATAACACTTAAATTATATTTTAATACTCGAGCTATAATTATAAATTAATTATTAGTTTTAGTACATTTAAATTAAATATTTAATTATTCTTAATAAGTATGACCCTTATACAGATTTTTTGTTTATTGAATATGGTTTGCGTATGCGTGTTTTTTTTTGATAATTTGTCTTTTGTACACTGAAGAAGAGTCAAACTGGAACTCGAAACTTACGACGGTATTTCTTAAAATTAAATATAACTTAGTTTTTCCTTTCAAGATCTATACCAATTGCGTTTGATAAATTGTGACTTTCAATATAATATTTCATTGTATCAATTTAAACTAAGAAAGATAAATTCTAAAACTTTAACTGTAACACAGAAAAATCATAAAAATATTGTCTTTCACAAACTCATTTAATAATAAATAATTTTGTCTTTACAATATTGTAAATATAGCAATTTCAAGAAAAAATTATATATAAATTTGTCAAATGTATGTATATATGCATGTGTTATATATCTATTCATATTTACCTACGTTGTTAATATATTTCACTCTTTTTTATATTACATGTCTGATATACTTATGAACTATTATAAAATTATTAAAATGAAAAAACCGGAAGTCTTGCGTTATAATTTGCACTTGTAAGTTCTAATAAATGTTAAATTATCAATATGTCATCGATTAAAAACAATATTTGATCACTTTTTTTATAAAAACGAAAAATAATTATACGCAGAAAGCTAAGAGGTCAAAACCTGATTAATGATGCAAATATTTGTAAAACACGTCTTGGCCAACAGGAAACAATCTTCGCACATTAGTACGCAAAAAATAACAGATAAATTTCGTAAAACGGTTCAATTGATAATTACAAGTTTTCAATTTCATAAAATAGATGTTTGCCATTCAATGGCAGTTCTAGAAAGAAAAATCAAATTTCTAATGAAAATAATAAGAAATACAGAAATGGTGAGTGCCATTGAAAATAGATGGTATTAGGGTATCTAACAATTTTTAAATATGTGTGTATGTATTTATATTATTTCGTGTTTACATATATATATATATATATATATATATATATATATATATAATACATATAATACATAAAATAAAAAACTAATAAAAAAATTGGGGAAGGGGAATAGTGGTAATAGAATGAAGGGTAGGAGAATCATTTATTTGTGGTGGTTCTCACAC